TTGCCCCCTCACATATACTAATGTGCCACAAACAGGACTTTAATATCACCAACCATTCCCATGTTATTACGGTGTATCCATATAAATGGCCCACCCTGTATAGTTAAATGGATTTTTTTAGACAAAGGATGGAGAAGAGTGTTGCATAAAAGCCCAGAATACGATAAATACAGTTGTTTTTTTCTTTGAACTGTGAGTCATGCAAAGCTGCTCCGCTGCAGTCACCGGAGTGAAAGTACAGAGCTGAAAATGAGCCGAAGAGCTCCTATTTAAAACACTTCAAAGACATTTTTGAACAGAACAGATGTGTTCTCTGCAGGCCTGCTCACTAATCCTGACTCCAGTTAAAAGTGACTTTTAAAAAAAGAGATATTACCAAATCTGACCCGTTGAGACTGCAGTGAGCGTTTTCACTGTTAAACCTTATTCAGATGAATAAAAAGATACTCCAGATGTAACAGAGAGAGAAGAAACCCCTGAAAGCCAGATGAAATAAATCCAGCTCTTTGTTTCCACACGCCGTTTCTCGTATTCTCGTATTGATTAATGCGTCTGAGCTGAAAACCAGGAGGCTGATATAAAGCAGTGCTGCAGTTGAGGGTTCAATTCCCACTGGGACACCCACGCTGAGCGCAAATGCTGCAGGCTTTTCAACACAATACTTGCAGCCCCAAACTTGTCCTGCGTTTGGTGTTAATATCGCTGTAGATTAGGATTAAACTGTCGAGGCATTTACGTGTGCGTGTGTGTGTGTGTGTGTGTGTGTGTGTTGATTAGAACTGTCAGTCAGTCAGAGTTGAACGGGCTGCAAGGATAAGAGTGAAGTTTCCATCCAGCTTAGTGTTACTGGAGCTGCTGAGGCTTATGAGAGAGATTCAGTGAGAAGACAGACAGAAACAGATCAATAATTCTATCTGCTTCGATTACACTCCCACACTCTGCTAATCTCTGCACTCGCTATCTGTGTGTGTGTGTTTCTGGTAAATAATACTGCCTGTAGGTTTCTAAAGCTCGCTGTCAGGCTAAGACCGGGATCATTTTGAAGATAATTCTGTCTATTGTTGGTGAAACACCTTGCTTGGCGTTTGAGGTGGCCTTGTGAAGAATAGATGTTCCTGCAGTCATTGCTTGACTCTCATATTTTAGCATTTATCCTCCTGCAGGTGATCCACCTGAGGCCGATCAGACCAGGGATGAGATGCAGATTAGGGATGTGACGTCCTTTCAAGTAGAAGATTACATGGTCACATTTAAAAAAGGATCCACTTAAATACTATATAAACTTTTATTTTAATCAACACACTGCTCAGCTAACTTCATTGTCCAGATGGTTAAGTTAATAAAAATTAAAATGACCTTACAAACGTGTTGATTTGGCTTTTTTTGATACGGGACTCTACGTTTTTGAGCCAGCCTTAAGTGATCACCGCAGGAACTGCAGCCGTTCAGTTTGGTGGCAAATCAGTCGCCTCAAAGTACTTTATGTTTAATTTAAAGACTCCAATATTGGAGAGAAAGCCCCCAAAATCATATGAGGCCTATAAACTATCACTTTGTGACAGTGGGAAAGAAACCTGTATCCAGCTGAGGGGGAAGAGAAAAAGGACCTCCTGCATGTTTACCTCAAAGGATTGAGTCGCTTCTGCTCGTCTCTGCCATGTATCCCAGTTCCTGCTATCTATCTTGTACACGGATCATATACACATTGTTTTTCATGCATTCAGTCACATTGGTGCCTTTAAAAGCAGCTGAATTGTCTGTGAGGAGGACCTGTTTGTAATGGAGCCATTAAAGCTCAGAGGGGCATCAGTGAATTGCTACAACGCTAAAGAAAGTTTAAAAACATGAATATTGTGAAGCTGGTTCTGAATGCGTTTTCCTCTTCCTCTCCCTGCAGCCATGCCCCACTGAAGCCGACTCTTCACCAGACCTGCCGCCAGCTCTTCTCTCCTTTTCCTCCTCCCCCCTCTCCTCCTCTGCCCCTTCATCCTTTCCTCTTCGTGTCCACCATGGTCTTCTCCTGTTCCTCTCCTCTGCTCCTCCTCCCTCTCCTCTCCCTTGTCCTCTTTTCCTCCCCTATCCTCTCTGCCCCTGCTGCTCCTCCGCCTCCCTCCGTGCCATCGGGCAGAGTGGTGTACCGGGCCTTTGACACCTCCCTCACCCACCTGACCGTCCACCAGAGTACAGGTGAGGTGTATGTCGGAGCAGTGAACCGAGTGCTGAAGCTGTCGGCTAATCTGACGGAGCTGCGGAGTCACATGACCGGACCTGTGGAGGACAATGCTAGCTGTTACCCTCCACCCAGCGTCAGGTCCTGCGCTCATCGGTTTGTCCCCTCTTGTCTCACTTATTTATTTCTATATATCCTTACATCTGTATGTCTACACCTGTCTCACCTGTCTGCGTTACCTGTCTGCCTCTGTCCTCAGACTGGAGATGTCAGATAACGTGAATAAGCTCTTACTAGTGGATTATATTGGAAACAGACTGGTGGCATGCGGCTCCATCTGGCAGGGCGTCTGTCAGTTCCTCAGGCTGGAGGATCTCTTCAAACTGGGGGAACCGCATCACCGCAAGGAGCACTACCTGTCTGGAGCCCGAGAGGCCGATGGGATGGCAGGTAAGCAAGGCTGAAGAGGGGGTGGAGTTAGAGAGTCCTCGACAGGTAATACAATTTAAGACATTTGGAAGGAATTAGCTTCTGGACAGTGGAAAAGAAGGATGTAGCCACCATGATGTCACCCATTGATTAGTGAAGTCATGCATGAAGACGTAAGCTGAGCGTTTTTGTCACCGAGGGGTGAAGCTGACTTTAAAACTCCAT